TATCGGTGCAATAGGTGGGGGTATGGGTGGTATTGGGACTGGCGGTGGAGTAGGTATCGGGGGAGGCATCGGTGGAGCTAATATGGGTGGAGCTGGAGCGGGAAGTGTAGGAGGAGCAAGAGGAATGGAAGGTGAGCACGTAACAACACCTTAAATATTTGATTTCGTTGTTCTGATTTTAATATCTAGACACAAAAGTCATGAATGACTGGTTAATTCTTCTCTCTTGCCATTTTCTATAGTCGTATTGGATTTGGCGTTCTTGGTCGATGGGTCTTCAGCTGTTGGAAACGAACAAAACTTCCAGCAGTTACTCAACTTCGTTAGCGCCGTGACGCATTCATTCTCCATCCATCACGACATGACTCGCGTCGGAGTTGTTGTTTTTTCTCTTGAGGCTTTTGTCATCTTTAACTTTCACACATACTTTGATATACAAAACATCGATCAAGCACTGTCTTCTGTGCAATATCCTGGAACAGATGGTCCAGGAACATATATAGGACGGGGTTTGCTTGTTGCAAAGCACTACCTCTTCAGTGCCTCAGGAAGAGGACATGTGCCGAGAGCCATTGTTCTTCTTGCTGCCGGAAGATCTATTGATGATGTTATCACACCGTCTATGGATATCAGGTCGAATGGAGTGGAAATGTTTTGCGTGGGTATCGGCAACCTTTACAGTAAATTACAACTTCACGCAATGGCAAGTTTTCCACACAGTGAACACATTTTCAGGGGTGATTACTCACAAATGGGGCGAACTGCACAACAAGTCGTCACCAAGATATTAAAAGGTCAGAATGACACTTTTTTAATCAATTTGTGAAATGAATAGTATATGCTTGTCTCGTCGTTGAAGTTATTTCCTTCATGGGTTGCGACGTTTCAACCGATTCTAACAAAATGTGCATTTATCTTAAACAGGCATTTCTGTTCACTTCTGTCGACCCTGCTTTGACGGTGAGTTCGATAAGAACATTTTAATGGAAATTCCTAGAGGTAAATTATGGTTTTTTTTAATGTATGTAAAAAACGTGTACATATGTTATAGGGCATCAGGAACTGTGTGATTACTGTCCAAGTGAATTTCAAGATGACGATGAAGTGGAAGAGGGCTTCAAGCGTCACCATCATCATCATCATAGGCATGATAAAGTCCACGTTCAACCGTTTGATGGTGAGCGGAGACATTCCAAGAGAAAACGACCCACTGCCAAAATCAGTGGAGATTATGAAGTCAAGCAATTAGCCGGACAAACTATGGGCCGAAAAACACATGAAGAGCAAAGCTATAACGCTGACTCATTTAGCAACACCAATGATGCCGTACACCCCACAACAAATCCTGACACAGATTATTATGGTGAATACAAATTTGATGACGGAAAAATGACCGTGGAAGACAATGGTAAGTATTCCTAAGAAAGTATAAAGAATTACCAATAATTCAAGATCAGTTCAGTTTACACGTGAACAAAAATTTCTTTGACAAATGAAATTTCTCCAGGAATTTTGGACTCTCTGCTAGATCTTAGGCTTAAGATAATCAAGTATTATTTGTTGCCGCTTGGTATTCGAATATTTACCACCCGTCTAATAAACGAAGCTAGCACGGTCAACCAAGCGAGCGACTTCGGTTATCTCACAGTTTAAACTGGCCTGGTTTACTGATCGCTAATCAAATGGCTCTATAAACGCAATCGCTACCCTTTCAATACTTATATTTTAGTATGTGAAAAGGAATGAATAACCATTAAACTAATAAATGATCCAGTTTACGACCAATTATAATTTTCTATCTATACCGTTCCGAAGTGGAGGTAGCTTTAGTCAAAGAATAATTAAAGTGGGCTCATGATTTATTTCTATAATGACAGACTGCAAGGACTACTCAGATGACTGCAACGACTATGCGTCACGTGGTTTTTGTAGTGAGTATGCTCCGACAGCCAGCATAGGAACCATAAACATGATGTGTAAGAGAGCATGTGGTACCTGCTCATCCAATAGAATGTGAGTGTACATCTCCGCTGCCTTCAACCCAGTAACTAGTATAAAGATAATTAAGAAACACCTAGTTAAAATCCTTTGGCGCCTTTGAAGGTAATTCGTACCAGAGCAAGCCAAGTATTCTTATACATCACGGGCAGCTTTTGTTTCAGGCGAAAATTTTCAATTTCAAGGTTGAGTGTGTAAGTTATACAATGTCTCTGAGTGCGAGCAAATACAGACTGCCTTTCTTCAATAATTTTAGTTTCATGATCAGCGACATAAAATGCTCAGGTATGAATCATTCACCTTCTTTCTCTGAGAGTTGTTCTCCCATAATACAATTTTTTTTTAATTTCGGTCGGCTTTTTAAAGAAATTTGTTATGAACAATATTGCATCTTAATGCACGCCCAAGAAACTATTTTATATTACATAACTGTAAAGTAACACAGCTCATCGAACAAACAATTTTTGTCGAAGATATTGTATTCTGAAAGCGCTGATTGTGCTTTTTTTTTTTCTCCTTATTTTGAAGGCCCAAAGAAAAACAGGATACGTACGAGCTTAGCGAAAGAGATCCTTTTTATAAGAAAGAAGAAATTGAAAACGCCAAGGATCAAAAACCGAACCACCTGAAGCACCGTTTAAATAAACTGTAACGCAGTGATCACAGTAGAGAATCATCCTAAAAGAACACTTCTTTCAAAGAAGATTTGTTACTGTCCCCCCTCCCCCCACCCCTTATAAATTATTCTTTAATCACCCTCTTTTGGAGATGCGAGAACTATCTAGATGTTTCTGTACATACAGGTATTACCTGTATGCTGTTGCAAACTCTTGACGGTTATATAGCTAAACCATTTTCTCCTTGTAAATTGTTTAGAAATGTACTTCATGTATCTGCACATACTTAAGGACAGGACAAACACAATCAAGAGTACAATCTCGTGTTGTTACATGAAGCAAATTACTGAAAAAGGAAATAATCCAAAATCTACTCGGTACAAATGTTAGGCTTTAAGCATTACAACAAATTTGTTACGGACCTGTGCCACGCTTTTCTTTCTAAAATGATATATAGCTTCTAATGAGGGAAATGACTGAGATCCTTGCAGCCTTTTATTATCTCTGAATTTCATAGCTGGCGTTTGCAGACTAGCTTGTTGCACATTTTTACAAAAATATAAGTTGGGTCGATCATCTTTGGTATCACATTGTGGCTATCGAAGAGTCAGTACAACTACAATTTCTAAGGTGCAACTTGTTTTTAATTAGAATGCTTCGATTACAGCTTTGAGAAAACTTTAACGTCTACGATACTTTAAAGCGCTGTGAAGAAGTTTCTTCATTTATTAGATGCCCACTTCCTTCTCTGGTTCTGAAAGAAACACAAAGGTAACACCGCAAAAGACAATGATGTGGAATTAAAAAGACTCAGAGGAGAGAATCATAAAAATGTAATAAACTTGCCTTTTTTGACTGTTAAGCTGGTACACTACAAGTCAAGAAAATTAATACCCTAGAAGGTTAGCTGCAATCTAGCAATTGCAAAAAAGAAGCTTGAAATGTATTTTAGGCATCGACAGGATACGAACCCTCTCTTCCCAGATACTAGCTTGGCGCTATTATTAACCGAAACTAAGAAGCCAAACGTTGGTCGCATGGAAAATTAAATGGGGTTCTTCTTTCCCCGTGGAGATATCTGATCACAATTTGTAATGAAATAAATTTCATCCGACCTGCCTGCTGAAAATCAAGTACATCCATTGACCTGACACACGTAATTACTTATAACTAACGGACGGCACCAAAATTGACTTGAGTTGATAAGATTATTTTATGAGTGCCAAAACCTTCCGCGTAACACTTATTCTTAACATAAACAAGGCCGACGCTAAAAGAGCTAAAGGAAAACAAAGATAAAGATCAGTCAAAACCTAGAGCCAAACTGAGGATGGACCGATCAAGTGATAAATCATAAAAAGCAATTGAGTAGATCACGAATCTCTATATTTTATTTATACTCACCTTCTAGCAAGAGGTACACGAAGTTGGCGTTGGCCTTCCCAACACACTCGCCTTCATCATTGATATTACACATCGTGAAGTTCTTACCGATGCACAATTGGGATTCTCCATGAAGAGAATACTGGTCACATGACTCTGGACCCGACCAACATTCTCCATAATGCTGAAGACCAAACATAGTGTATCCATGCTGAGAGGCAGTCTGGGCACAACGGCACGCGAGGCTAGGAAATGATTATTTTTCTCGGTCAAGTTTAGAAATGAAGATTCACATTTTAATTCCATGCGGGCAAATTGAAAAGCATAGATTACAGAGTATTAATTTGTCCTGAGAACCAGATATATAACTTTGAATGAATTTTAATTAACTGAGAGCCACTTTAAGAAAGACAATGCTTACTTCAAAGGTTGCGAGACTGTTTTCAAACTTGAAGAGAATTTCAACACAAAGACTACAAGGAATAAATAAAATGCTCAAAAGTTCAAAAGCGCGCGCATAAATATATCTTTCGCAAGAAAGTCATGATGCCGATAATTATGCTTTCCCACATTCATATCAAGTTATTCGTATTCATTAACTGTACAAACCCATGCATGTAAGCTTCCCAGTTCTTCCAGTCGATCTGTTGACTTTGGGATGACCTGCCGCGGTCATTGATAAGCAGTTTAGACATGGATCTGGACCATGTCCTGTCCTGGAAGCATCCTAACTTGTAGAAGGATCGCTCGCATGTGACATGCTGACCATGCACTAGTCAAGAAAAGGAACGAATTGGTCAAAGTAAAGCAAATGATTTGAACCTCATCGAAAGGGAAATGTTTTTCAATCTGCCAAATTAGCTACAACAAAATTCACCTCATTTTTTAAGTAGGATTCGGTTAAAAGAAAAACGCGAAGTCGTTTACTGAAAAAACAAGTAGATCCTTGTATCCGCTAGTTCCCATTTTAAGCTAATTTAATCTTAAGTTATATATGTAGTCAATAGAACTACGATTATCAGGTTTATTCTATGATGCTTGAGAGCTGCCAGCGGGAAAAAATTAGTTAAACATATTTAGATATCAGGTAAACAATTTTTATGAACGACTCGAGAATTGTTGTTATCACGATTTATCGCCCCTTTTAACCCTTCCATTGATTTCCATGAGATTCTATTTGCTACTTTACATTACAGGGTGCATATTCAGCGAACAGTTATCACGCAACAACCCCTATCTACGTCGATATTTGTCCCATGACTATTTCCGTCGAAAACAAACAAAGCCGGCGGGAAAAAGCCAGCTTAAGAGTTTTGCTTTTGCATCTTTCTTACTTCAAATGAAAGAGTGACCAACTCAAAAAGTCAACGGAATTTCTTGTCAACGCGCGATACGAAAATGAATGGAAGGGTTAGAAAATAAATAGCCTCCCTTCTGGTTGGCTGATATGTCGGCTGATAATGTTCTTGGCTGAGAGATTGTCCTCAGAATTTATTTGCACTTGAAGCTTCGATTCTCGGCCAACTTTTCGTTTTTCGGACAATCTCTCAGACGCGGACATTGTCAATGGACGTACCAGCCGCCTAAAGGGGTTCGTCTACTGATTAATTCATCACACCCAAGAGAATATAATCTCTTTTCATACCTCAAGAAAAAACTTCTTCCCCTTACTTAATTTCGCGATAACGTAGAACAACAACAAGCGAGTTAAAAAAAACGTTTAGGGAGAGAGGGGTGAAAATGAAAATGATGTTAGGATCTAAATGGTGTCACCACCGTAATTTTGATGCCAGTCGCCGGCCGATTTATAAATGTTGTGCCGAGATAACCCCTTTACGTGGCAAGTGCAAAAGACAAAATTACAGAGTCTACCTGAAGAGAATGACACTCTGAAAACCAGGAATGCAAGGAAAAACAGCCTCATCATCTCATCAAGCCCTGAAACGAAGTTCCTAACAGAAAGTGACAGAAAAAGAGAGCTTAAGTACACTCCGGAATTATGAAACATGGAAATATGCTGATTTGAATTCATATCCGACATCAATTTCAAAATAAAAGTTGTGTCCGTATTGTCGATGGCGTTTAAAAGGTCAAAATTTGCATTAATAGAGAATTCGTCCATGCTCAGCACGCGTCTATCGAGTTGAGGATGCGGGAAGTTTGGAGTACACGTGAGAAGCGTAAAAGTTGCTCGAGGCGCAGGACATATCAACACTTCAAAATAGTTTTTATCGTTTAATGAAGGTTACCCAAAATCGCAAGGCCTCAGTTGAAGTCAGAAAGCTTAGGTTTGTTTTCAGCCATATTTCGCATCGCGAATGAAGTATCGTTAACTCCAAAATTTATTTCGTCGCTTTAAAGAACTAAATACTCATTGTTTTTCGAAACGAGTATTATTTAGCAAGTTTTATTTCTATTTTGAGCTCCAAAAGGTCTATCTCAATCAAAATAGAGCGGGTAAAAGTTTTGAATCCTCGCGGCTAAACTCAACGGGAACTTTCAGCCAAAGAGAAATCGCACATGTCATGTAATAGATGCACGGCTGTACTGTACATAGCGATTTTTACCATGCTAGCTCCTTAGGAAATAGATAGGTCTTGCGCGCGCGCTATGTTATAACAATACTTCATCCTCTATCGATGTTAAACAATAAAATTTAATTTCCTTCCTTAACTAATGCACGGCATGATAAAGGCTTTTTCTTCAATATCGGTTCCTTGGTAAATTGAAAATTCAGAAAGCTGAAAGAATTCTGAAAGGTTCTCGAATCTTTGTGTCAACAGAGAAATTGGACATCGGGAATATTTTCCTTACTTGTAAACATCCAAATGTGCAACAAACGAAGGGCAACTAAAAAAGTATAATCTAAGGATGCAGTTATCATCGAGAAAAATGACAAGAATGACAAGCGAAGTGGTTGACTTGGTGTGTATGGTGTTTTCATTCAAAACCAGTAATGATATATTGCAGATGATATATTTAAAATCAGTATAACGATATAAGCAAACTAGGCCAAGTGTTGAGGAGTCAGTCATTACTATGTCATCATTGAAGCTAACAAAGATACTGACTTATTTTAAAAAATGATATGGGATTTAAAATATATATATATATATATATATATTCATACTTACCTGAGTTTTTAGTTAAACGATTTGAAATTCTGCTCAACGATGATATCCGTTCGCGTTCGCCAAACTAAACTCACATGTGAAGTTTTGTTGTCTCAAAGCTGCAGTGATTTACATTACAATAAAACACTTTTCACACGTCGACGAACCAATTACCAACATTTGTCTCCTTACACGGAAAGAAATTTAGTTAAAGAATTCAGTTCTGTGAGCCAGACAATGAAAGAAACAACGAAATAATTCTCTGTATCCTGATGAAATTAAATTTCAAAGTTTTTGACCAAAAAAAGTCAGTCATTTAAAAATCTATAATCATTTTATAATTGGCTGTGCGCACGAAGTCAAATAAACAGAACAATCTCCAGTTTTCAGCTTTTGATTAAGCTCAAAGAAATAATGATTTCAAGTCCTCATTCTCTTTTTGTAAAATCAAAATGTATTTTCAGATGACATACCATTATGATGTATAAACAAAAAATAAAAGACTCTCTCTCTAAAAATAAACATTTCCTACAAAATTCATATCCGACAATCGAATAATTTACATAGACTAACTGGTATGGTTATTATAATTTTTCATTCAAGACGAATTTCGTGTCATACTCATATGAACAATGACTATGCAGTTGCTCCTGCAACCATCGCTTGTTTCAAATTTGGATCAATTACATTGTGATTTCTTCCATAAATGAGAGTGGTCTTAAGCAAATGAATCAATGGATATGAGCTGTTAGGTGAACAGTTTGTCAGTAGGCGTCAGGCTACCTAACTAGGAGCAAAATACTCTTTTTATTAACTAAATATTGCTTCAAGGAGAATTTTTGTCCTTCCCCTGTGTATTTTTTTGATAATGATCATCTCATATTACACAAATCACACGTATTCTGAAATACTCATTTATTATTAACTTTTTCGGTGTTTAAGTGCGCATAGACTTTCAATCAAGTATGGGTTCTACTCCACTTCCGCCTTCTGTTGAATAAAAATAACAAAATTTTAATTTTTTTTATTGTTTGATTCTTTCACCTCTGTAGGATTGTCTCAGTCTGTAAATAAGTCGCACACATGCACACTGGTAATGTAATCTAAATAAACAAAGAAAGCATTGGCTAACTAGAATTAACTACGAGAAGCCTCTTGGTATTCAGCCTGAGCGTTCTCTATTGAAATAGGATCGAAGACGGCAGAGGTGACTCAAGTCAAATGTAGTAAGAATTTCTTCAAAAAAATTATCTTGGAAATGTTGGGAACGGAAGGATAGATCATAAATGCATAGCCTGAAACGCACGTTTTAGGCTATCGACGCGCTCGCAGCAAAGATAATCCGTAATTTAGCGCAGAGCGCAAAGCTTGTACACCGAGGCTATTGTCATTACCTGTAGGTATAATACGGTAAATGTAGTTGGCGTGACCTCCACCGACGCACTCTCCTTTATCTCCGTCATTACATTTTAAGAAGCGACCATCCTTACAGTCCTTTGACTTGCCGTAGATATCAAACCTTGCAGCAGCCTTGAGACCCGTCCAGCATTCAGCATAGAACTGAAGACCGAAATGACTGTAACCTCTGTCTTCCGTTCCTTTGGCACATTTGCAAGCCAGCCTAAAGTTGAAAAAAATATCTAATCACGAAACGAGATCATCTTTCATAATTAAACTTGCTGATTTGGCTTAAAGAGGAGCTTTCTGAGAAGATTTTAAAAGTCCGCTGACGGTCTGCTGAGCATTACTCTTGAT